ACATGTTTATTTGGTATCTGGGTCATTACGACATTTGAGCACGTGTCATGGCAAGGCTACGTTGATTGTTGATTGGCTTGAAGGAAGGTTTGTTCCACAGGTGAAGAAAATAGTTTATCTGCCTACTTACAAAGATGCAGATGTCCAAAGCAGACACATCTTCCGGAGGCAAGAGAGTTAACTGACTATAAAAGTCCAGTTTCCACGCTTGCCGAACTAGGCTGGTACTATGGAGTTACATTTTGGCTGGACTAACGAGTCTATGCATAGTCCAATCAAAATAGCGCACCGAAATCGAAATCCGGTTCGTAAACTGTCGTGCAGATTTCGATCGATTGCAGGATTTGCAAAGCATGTGCACCGCCAACTCGTTGTCAGCAGATATTTTCCACTTCTTTTCATGTTTTAAATCAAGGTGCTCACGTGATGTGATGCATTTCGCGATGTAAGACCCGTTTTATCACAATATAGATCTTGATGGTCGATGGCCACCATTTTGTGTGAAGCAAACGCAAGTGATGCGAGAGGTGGAATCTAATTGGTCCATAGGAGAGGCTTAGAAGGGACATAACTGGTAATAGCCACTGGTGGCGCTACGATCGAGACCAGTAATTCCAGCCTAGTTCGGCAAGGGTGGAAACTGGACTTTTAAAGTCATTTAACTCTCTTGCCTCGGGAGGATGAAGCAGACAAGGCAATGACCTGTTTGGTGTTAATGATTTAAATTTTAACATGATGGCGATTCGGGCTCAGTTTTTAATTTCTTGTTACAGGTGTTTTGATCATGTGTTTGGTGACACACCACCGAGTATGACGGAATTAGTCAAAGCCATAATCATGCCAGAGCGACTTCCATGTGTAGGAAGTATGAAAATGGTTTCCGTGCTGGAGAAAGTAGGCTGTTTCTAACTGTCTGTAGGGTTACCGTTATCTCCTTTACATTGTGCGCTTTATTTGCTGTCCGTTATACAACGGTCGGGATCTTTCTCGCCCGTGCAGTAAGCGTTTTATAGCATTGGACATTTTCATGTTATTGTCCCACAGACAACACATTGGTGATAAATTTGTTGGAGGGGGCCAAACGGAGTTTGTAAAATCCGTTAAGAAAAAAGAGCTTATTACAGTTCAAATTCTTGAATGAATGTTTGATTGTAAAATGAAAAACCCATTTGCAGGTTTTATGTGGTCTGCTGTGTTGCTTAATATTAAGCATGGTGATTTGCTTTTTTTTAATTCACATATGAATTTTTTTAATAGAAAGGTCGAATGCGGATGTATACAGAAAGCATGGTTAATTATTGGTAGAACAGGGACAAAGGTGTGTCCTGTGAAGTGTATGGAACGTTTCTTGGAAAGGCCAGGTTAAAACGAAGAAACTAACGCTAAAACTTATCTTTGCAGAAATCTGTGAAGACCAGCGATGGCTATACATTTAGAGCCGAGAACAAACCGTGTCCTATACTCGGTTAAGGGAGTTATTTATGGAAGCCTTTTAAGCCTTATGTACCTGACATAAAATGCTATGTTCTGCATAGTTTGAGGTCAAGTGGAGCCACAATGGCAGCCAATACAGGCATCCCTGATAGAATGTTTAAACTGACATGTGAATATTTGACTGTCAAAGAACCTACTAGTTTCACTGTCCTGTTGTTAAAGCATGGGTGTCATGAAAATGTGTCCAAAGTTGGAATTCTTAACATTGTGATGATCCCTAGATCACATTTCACATGTATTTGTGCTTCAATGTATGTACTTTTAGCTTTGTACAATTTCGATATGTCATGTAATTATTTGTGGTGATGTGGTAATATACCTCCCCAGATTTCATCATTTCATCATAAATATACACTTCGAAAATGGATAGTTTCTCTATGAGAGTGAGTGAGTTTGGCCTTACTTCGCTTTGAACAATATTTCAGTTATATTAGGGAGTGTCAGTTTGATTTGGGAGGAAAGCTCGAAGTTATGCGGGTCGTACCACTTTCACGAAATTCAAAACGTCAATGCTAGAAAATGATCAATCAATCTATAGGGCATTAAAGAAAGAAAATAGTGATGATTACATGAAATGATGACTGATGGGTCCCTAAACGTTCCTTTCAATTGTTTCCCTCATTTCCAACTCTGGTGGACAGATGAAGTGAAGCAACTAATAATGAATGAATGGAGTATTGATGAAACTCTGCCAAACGAATTGCGGCGTCCTAGTCTACAGGGCCATTAATGCCCCCTTCACTGTAAAATATAATTAATTCACATCATGCTTTACCCATGTAGGACATATATTATATGGGTTTGTTGTCATATCGACAGAGGATCCAATCAGCCAAACTGCCTAAAAAATGCAATTAATTATATTCCCACAGGTAAAATAAAATGTTTGCCCAGTGGGCTTGTACGCCACGAGGGAAAAGCAACTCAAGTACTCATGAGGTTATTTCTTTCTACGTGACACAAAACCCATGCTTGCCGTAACAAGCGACTATGCTTGTCGTAAGAGGCGACTAACGGGATCGAGTGGTCGACTCGCTGACTTGGTTGATGCATGTCATCGTATCCCAACTGCGTTGATCGATGCTCATGATGTCAATCACTGGAATGTCTGGTCCAGACTCGATTATTTACAGACCTCCGTCATATAGCTGAAACATTACAAATGTTGCACCATCTGACATTGACTAATAAGAAATGATTTGTTTAATCTGTATGAATTACTGAGTCCTGACCTATTATTAGTTTATTTTAATAGAAGCCTTGTATATTCATCCTTTACATAAAATACATGTCGGTCTAATTTAAAACTTAATATTTACCTTTCAAGAAACGTCCTTAATTTCGTTTATGCCAAGTCATATTATATTGCATATTATGTGGACGTGCTTTATATACTGAAAATGGATGTATCTTTATCCGGGCTTAAGTCATATGAAAATATATAAGTGAATGAGTAATATACGGCGTTCTGGACGAAGCATGAAGAAGAACAGCTCGTCAAAACACATTCCTAATTTTTTTGTGAGCGAAATCGCCAAAACGCAACAAATTGCGTGCACATCATGGAAAACGTGTTTTGTTTCATGGGAAGCATGCAGAATAGGGCTATAAAAGACAGACTTTAAAAAGCCACTTGTTGCTGCAGACGTAAAGGGTACTGACACAAGAAATGCCAAGATTAACAGCAGAACGGTTTCAATGCCATCATTCAACAGTCCTCAGGCTACTGAGCAGATACCAGCAGACAAGAACCACCAGAGATCGACCACGTCCGGGTCAACGTCGTGTAACTACACCACGTCAGGATCGCCATATTGTTCGTCGGCATCTTCGTGATCGTACACTTCCGGCTACCAGAACTGCAGCAACTGTACACGGCCGACGGAATTGATCAGTGCTGACACCGTACGTCGACGTCTCCGCTCAGCAGGGCGACGTGCTCGACGTCCATATGTTGGACCCATACTCACTGATCGACATCGAAATGAACGTCTGCGTTGGGCCAAAAGGCATCGTCATTGGAGATTGAGGCCGTGACATGGTGTGCTGTTCTCTGATGAGTCCCGTTTTCATTTACGGAACGCTGACGGTCGACTGCGAGTGTGGCGTCGACGTGGAGAACGTTACCACAATGACTGCGTTGTACAGACAGATCGATTGGGGGAGGGAGTGTCATGGTGTGGGGCGGCATCAATCATCAGTCATCAGCATCGAACAGAGCTCCATGTTTGTCGTGGAAGAGTTAATGCCCTTTACTACAGGAATAACATATTGGCAGATCACGTCATCCCATTCTTTTATCAGCACCAGGATATGCACACCTTCTAGCAAGATAATGCAAGAGCCTGTGTTGCTGTCAATGGCGGACATACCAGATATTGTCTTTTCATTTTAATCCTATGTGTCTTCCTTACACTGATGACGTAATTGTAATTACTGTGTGGTATTCCTGTTTCCTTTGTCGTCTTTCTTAATAATCCGTCTATGTCTGTTCTAATCAAAATCGGTCATTGCTCAAGTTGTTTTTGTAATATTTCAAGATTTATTGCTGGTGCGTTTTCAATGCTGTTCAGTATACATAGTAGCTTAAACAGTTTGCCCTGTTTCGATTTCCCGCACGTAGCTGTTGATAATGTTTACTTACGACACTTTGGGAAGGATAATGTAATTGACATGCGAACCTCAACATATGAACTACTTTGTGTAGTAACTTGTAATACAGAAGCGTAATCATCTAGGCGAGGCGTGTTTTACGTCCACGATGCTGGGAAATGTTCTTCTATTTTGAGGACTGAAAGGTCGGTATTTACTTATTGGTCATAACCACAATATGAAATAGAAGCAACCATATTTTCCTTCAGAGTAACAATAATTAATTCTAATGGGGCTAATGGATTGGGTGGGGTTGGGGTGTTGGGGAGAGTAGCATATCCGTGCTCCTGAGGTTCACCAAAGTGGTAAACGGCTGAGGCCTGCATCACTTCGGGCTTTATTTCCACAGCTGACGCGGCGCCGTGCATATTATTACTTATAACAGTAAATCTGCCCTGACACAGTCACCAAAAGCAGTTGATGCAGTTGATAGCAGTTTATAGAACTTAGCATTGATAGTGATGCATAAACACATGCTTATGATGTAGTTGGAACCGGACTCTTGTTTTCTTTTATGTATTAGTATTGAAATGGTTCTGTCGCTTTTGCGTGAAGGGTGGTTGCTACCGGTAGAGCAGGACATGCTTACTGTCTTTGCGAACACCTGGTGTCATCACTGATTTTCAGTGATCCATTCATGTACATCACAATTTTGTCTCTTAGGCCCAATGGAATCTGTTTCGGCAGATAGTCGAGGCTGCATATTCTTGGGGGGTGACGTTATATATTTATTTACAAATAACATTCGTCGTCTTATCTCAACTTGTTTTATACACTTTATAAAATAGTTTAATATTTTCTAATTTCTTTTATTTCTTCAGAGAAACAGCTGATTCGAGAAATATTTGGATTTGATGAATATGACGCTCATGTCCACTCTGATATTAGTGCTCACACAGTGTGTGATGAATAAGGAAGCAATATGTGGGATAACCAAGAACCTGAACCGTGTACAATGTGGAGATGAGTGGTCTTCCTGTTATAAACGCATGTGTGTCTGTGCCTCGAAATGTGTCAGATGTATAGATAATGGAAGAAATCTTACAACGATTCCTGACCTAAACTCCACAACTGAACTGCTCAACTTTTCATCCAACTATTTAGGAAGCATATCAAGAATGACGTTTCAACATATGACGCATATACGAGTTCTAGCTCTCATCAACAACAGTATTACCAACATCTCCAATGATGCATTTCAAAGTCTTACAATGCTTGAACATCTTGATCTTGATTATAATGATTTTAAAATATTGGATTTTAATGAACTACGCGATCTTAAGATCCTCCGGAGATTATCAGCTTCAAACAATGATATTTATATAATACGAGACATAGTACCTACGCAACTTACTCACCTTTCTCTCCAGTGGAACCGCTTGTCGATGCTTCCCCGGTTTTGTTCTGGCAGTAACCACTCAAATCTGGTGGATATAGATTTAGGAGGAAATAATATAGGGCAACTGTCGAGGGGAAGCTTAAGGTGTCTCATCAACTTGAAGTACTTCAGTTTAGATGGAAATAGATTAATCACGATTGCCTCAGGTACATTTTCGTCACTACCTCAAATTGAAACAATAAATCTCAGTGACGTTTTCAAAGATAAGAGATCTGCAGAGTCAGTAGGATTAGAGGCATATGCACTTAATAATAGTGCTATAAAAAAACTTTATCTCGCAAGTATCGCTCAGTATGGGTATTTTAATGTCATTGTTAATTCAAATGCATTTAAACGGTGCACAGGACTTACAACCCTCAACTTATCATACAATGCTATGTTGTACTTTAACGACACATTTTTAAATGCACTTCTTGGTGATTTACAAGCCTTACAGTGTATAAAAATATCAAGGTGTCAATTATCATTCTTCCCAGAGGTCATATCAACGTTACTAGAACTACGAACAATCGATCTACATGGAAACAGAATAATGCGGTTAAAACAGGGATTATTTAACAACTTGAAGAAACTCAGGTACATAAGTTTATCAGAGAACGCTATCGAAGTTATACATGAAGCAATTTTCCCAATAAATCTGAGAAACCAACTAAAACATATCAACCTAGCATATAACAATTATGTCTGCACTTGTGCGAATCTCTGGTTTATAACATGGGCAAAGGCAGAAAAACATAAATTTGACAAATTTCCTGATTCATATGTATGCGGATATCCTATTGAACTCCAATCCACACGTCTCATTGATGCTGATATCTCTAAACAGACATGCCAAATCTCGCCTTACATGTTTCCTGTTATTTTCGGTCTGTCCACAGCAGCAATTGTGTTGTTGGTGATCATCTCCCTCACATACCGATGGCGTTGGCACATCCGTTATTGTGCTTACTTGCTGAGATTTAAACAGAGACAGCGAATAGAAGAAAGAGAGGAAAGATTCATCTATGATGCATTTGTTCTGTATTGTGAAGATGATTCTGGGTGGATACGGAATGACCTGCTGCCGAAAATTGAAAATGATGACAATTTAAAGTTATGCATTCATGAGAGAGATTTCACTCCTGGGCGTTACATAGTTGACAACATTGTAGACAGTTTGAATAACAGCAGAAACGTAGTCCTGGTGCTGTCGGACAGTTTCAATCAGAGTCTGTGGTGTCAGTTTGAGCTGACTCTGATTCAGAAACGTTCTCTGGAGCAGGATGAGGGGTACCTCGTGGTGGTGCTACTGGAAGAGATACACGCCCGGAACATGACGTCATCACTGTATGCACTGCTGCAGACGACAACCTACATCACGTGGCCTGTCGAGGAGGAAGACAGACAGTTATTCTGGATGCGGCTCCGGGATAGTTTGCAACAATGAACCTGTTTTTCACTGACATTAAACAGGATTTTAAGCCGAATCATATTAAACGTTATACGGTTTGCAAAGTTACAACAATGAAGGGCGAAATGAAAAAAATATGAAATATGTGCATGATTTCTGGACGGCTGGTTGGAAGTAGAAAATTACATTGTTAATATTTTCGAACTGCATGTGATTTTCACCATGACTCTATCTCAACTCACCTCTGTCATCAGTTATTAAGGTTTGCCGCTACCGTTCTCACACAGTATATTTGAATTGATCATAACGTGTTCTGTATAAACTCATGATAGGCACAAGTTACGTACCATGACATCTCATATTGAATTTAAATATTTGCTGCACAATATCGGAAATGACCTCTTTTAACACATCAGAGCAAACATTTCAAAAACGTGTACATAGAAATATATCAACATATTTCCTGACGTTATTCATGTTTTGTTAAATAACAACTATCCGCTTATGATTACATTTGTTTCCACCTTGTGTACATGAAAGCTGACAAAAAGTGACAAAATATGTCCCTAAAACGAATTTCGACTCATTTCTTTAAAAATGTTCATATTTGTATAAACGTTTCAAGACGCGAATTTGATAAAAAAAAGATTAACAGTCTTCCCTTGTGAAACTCAACTGTCCTTCTTCCTCACTTGACAACAGTAACTATTCAGTAATAAATCATTACGCTTGATTACATTAGTTTCAACACAGGTAAAGGTCCAAAGGTTGTGTGTCATTTGGGTTCCGCGTACTGCATTTATATACTTTATACAACATCAATGCACGGACGAATGGGCTGTGCGTTCCTGCGCTTTCAGTGACAAGTGGAGAGATTCATTCATTTACATGAAATGTTCACATTAAGTACGTGTGTGGATTTAGTTGGACTCGAATGCTTGGCTGTATTCTGAGACATTTGGATTCGCGATGGTACTTTATTCGCTTCGCCCTTTGTTCTCGTAACTGTACCTCGCAACTCGCACATCAGGTAGTGTCACTCATCCACTATCAGTATCAGAAAGAAACAAGTTTGCTTTCAGTTATCTCTCACTGTTTCTATCTTTTATCATTACCAAACGTTTTGTATTATCTGAAATTGACGTTGTTCGTAGCGAATACGCGGTGGTGTGTGGGTTGAGGCGCGTGGTGGATGTTTTGGATGTGTGTTTGTTTGATGTGTAGATGTGTTGGTGTGTGGATTGAGGGGCGTTGTGGATGTTTTGGAGGATGTGTGTTTGTTTGATGTGTAGATGTGTTGGTGTGTGGATTGAGGGGCGTTGTGGATGTTTTGGAGGATGTGTGTTTGTTTGATGTGTAGATGTGTTGGTGTGTGGGTTGAGGCGTGGTGGATGTTTTGGATGTGTGTTTGTTTGATGTGTAGATGTGTTGGTGTGTGGGTTGAGGGGCGTGGTGGATGTTTTGGAGGATGTGTGTTTGTTTGTTGTGTAGATGTGTTGGTGTGTGGGTTGAGGCGTGCGGTTGGTGTTTTGGAGGATGTGTGTTTGTTTGATGTGTAGATGTGTTGGTGTGTGGATTGAGGGGCGTGGTGGATGTTTTGGAGGATGTGTGTTTGTTTGATGTGTAGATGTGTTGGTGTGTGGATTGAGGGGCGTTGTGGATGTTTTGGAAGGATGTGTGTTTGTTTGATGTGTAGATGTGTTGGTGTGTGGGTTGAGGGGCGTGGTGGATGTTTTGGAGGATGTGTGTTTGTTTGATGTGTAGATGTGTTTGTGTGTGAGTTGAGGCGTGCGGTTGGTGTTTTGGAGGATGTGTGTTTGTTTGATGTGTAGATGTGTTGGTGTGTGGATTGAGGGGCGTGGTGGATGTTTTGGAGGATGTGTGTTTGTTTGATGTGTAGATGTGTTGGTGTGTGGATTGAGGGGCGTTGTGGATGTTTTGGAGGATGTGTGTTTGTTTGATGTGTAGATGTGTTGGTGTGTGGGTTGAGGCGTGCGTTGGGTGTTTTGGGTGTGTGTGTGTTTGTTTGATGTGTAGATGTGTTGGTGTGTGGATTGAGGGGCGTTGTGGATGTTTTGGAGGATGTGTGTTTGTGTTACGTGTAGATGCGGTGGTGTGTGGGTTGAGGGGCGTGGTGGATGTTTTGGAGGATGTGTGTTTGTTTGATGTGTAGATGTGTTGGTGTGTGGATTGAGGGGCGTGGTGGATGTTTTGGAAGGATGTGTGTTTGTTTGATGTGTAGATGTGTTGGTGTGTGGATTGAGGGGCGTGGTGGATGTTTTGGAGGATGTGTGTTTGTGTTACGTGTAGATGTGTTGGTGTGTGGATTGAGGCGTGGTGGATGTTTTGGAAGGATGTGTGTTTGTGTTACGTGTAGATGTGTTGGTGTGTGGATTGAGGCGTGGTGGATGTTTTGGAGGATGTGCGTTTGTGTTACGTGTAGATGTGTTGGTGTGTGGGTTGAGGCGTGGTGGATGTTTTGGAAGGATGTGTGTTTGTTTGATGTGTAGATGTGTTGGTGTGTGGATTGAGGGGCGTTGTGGATGTTTTGGAGGATGTGTGTTTGTTTGATGTGTAGATGTGTTTGTGTGTGGGTTGAGGCGTGGTGGATGTTTTGGAAGGATGTGTGTTTGTTTGATGTGTAGATGTGTTGGTGTGTGGATTGAGGCGTGGTGGATGTTTTGGAAGGATGTGTGTTTGTTTGATGTGTAGATGTGTTGGTGTGTGGATTGAGGGGCGTTGTGGATGTTTTGGAGGATGTGTGTTTGTGTTACGTGTAGATGTGTTGGTGTGTGGATTGAGGGGCGTGGTGGATGTTTTGGAGGATGTGTGTTTGTTTGATGTGTAGATGTGTTTGTGTGTGGGTTGAGGCGTGGTGGATGTTTTGGAGGATGTGTGTTTGTTTGTTGTGTAGATGTGTTGGTGTGTGGGTTGAGGCGTGGTGGATGTTTTGGAAGGATGTGTGTTTGTTTGATGTGTAGATGTGTTGGTGTGTGGATTGAGGGGCGTGGTGGATGTTTTGGAGGATGTGTGTTTGTTTGATGTGTAGATGTGTTGGTGTGTGGATTGAGGGGCGTGGTGGATGTTTTGGAGGTTTTGTGTTTGTTTGATGTGTAGATGTGTTGGTGTGTGGATTGAGGGGCGTTGTGGATGTTTTGGAGGATGTGTGTTTGTTTGATGTGTAGATGTGTTGGTGTGTGGATTGAGGGGCGTTGTGGATGTTTTGGAGGATGTGTGTTTGTTTGATGTGTAGATGTGTTGGTGTGTGGATTGAGGGGCGTTGTGGATGTTTTGGAGGATGTGTGTTTGTTTGATGTGTAGATGTGTTGGTGTGTGGGTTGAGGGGCGTGGTGGATGTTTTGGAGGATGTGTGTTTGTTTGATGTGTAGATGTGTTTCTGTGTGAGTTGAGGCGTGCGGTTGGTGTTTTGGAGGATGTGTGTTTGTTTGATGTGTAGATGTGTTGGTGTGTGGATTGAGGGGCGTTGTGGATGTTTTGGAGGATGTGTGTTTGTTTGATGTGTAGATGTGTTGGTGTGTGGATTGAGGGGCGTTGTGGATGTTTTGGAGGATGTGTGTTTGTTTGATGTGTAGATGTGTTGGTGTGTGGGTTGAGGCGTGCGTTGGGTGTTTTGGGTGTGTGTGTGTTTGTTTGATGTGTAGATGTGTTGGTGTGTGGATTGAGGGGCGTTGTGGATGTTTTGGAGGATGTGTGTTTGTGTTACGTGTAGATGTGTTGGTGTGTGGGTTGAGGCGTGGTGGATGTTTTGGAAGGATGTGTGTTTGTTTGATGTGTAGATGTGTTGGTGTGTGGATTGAGGGGCGTTGTGGATGTTTTGGAGGATGTGTGTTTGTGTTACGTGTAGATGTGTTGGTGTGTGGATTGAGGCGTGGTGGATGTTTTGGAAGGATGTGTGTTTGTGTTACGTGTAGATGTGTTGGTGTGTGGATTGAGGGGCGTTGTGGATGTTTTGGAGGATGTGCGTTTGTGTTACGTGTAGATGTGTTGGTGTGTGGGTTGAGGCGTGGTGGATGTTTTGGAAGGATGTGTGTTTGTTTGATGTGTAGATGTGTTGGTGTGTGGATTGAGGGGCGTTGTGGATGTTTTGGAGGATGTGTGTTTGTTTGATGTGTAGATGTGTTTGTGTGTGGGTTGAGGCGTGGTGGATGTTTTGGAAGGATGTGTGTTTGTTTGATGTGTAGATGTGTTGGTGTGTGGATTGAGGCGTGGTGGATGTTTTGGAAGGATGTGTGTTTGTTTGATGTGTAGATGTGTTGGTGTGTGGATTGAGGGGCGTTGTGGATGTTTTGGAGGATGTGTGCTTGTTTGATGTGTAGATGTGTTGGTGTGTGGATTGAGGGGCGTTGTGGATGTTTTGGAGGATGTGTGTTTGTTTGATGTGTAGATGTGTTGGTGTGTGGATTGAGGGGCGTTGTGGATGTTTTGGAGGATGTGTGTTTGTTTGATGTGTAGATGTGTTTGTGTGTGGGTTGAGGCGTGGTGGATGTTTTGGAGGATGTGTGTTTGTTTGATGTGTAGATGTGTTGGTGTGTGGATTGAGGGGCGTGGTGGATGTTTTGGAGGATGTGTGTTTGTTTGATGTGTAGATGTGTTGGTGTGTGGATTGAGGGGCGTTGTGGATGTTTTGGAGGATGTGTGTATGTTTGATGTGTAGATGTGTTGGTGTGTGGGTTGAGGCGTGCGTTGGGTGTTTTGGGTGTGTGTGTGTTTGTTTGATGTGTAGATGTGTTGGTGTGGATTGAGGGGCGTGGTGGATGTTTTGGAGGATGTGTGTTTGTTTGATGTGTAGATGTGTTGGTGTGTGGATTGAGGGGCGTGGTGGATGTTTTGGAGGATGTGTGTTTGTGTTACGTGTAGATGTGTTGGTGTGTGGGTTGAGGCGTGCGGTTGGTGTTTTGGAGGATGTGTGTTTGTGTTACGTGTAGATGTGTTGGTGTGTGGATTGAGGGGCGTTGTGGATGTTTTGGAGGATGTGTGTTTGTTTGATGTGTAGATGTGTTGGTGTGTGGATTGAG